ATATCATAACTTTAATTAAGTTTATCTAATTTTTCATAGGGTTTACGACTCGGAAACTTTTCCATTGATTTTTCACCCCACTCGTAAGATGTACATTTAATAATATTATCAATAATTATAATGATTTCGAAAGAAAATATAATACATATATTGCAAAAAATTTGATAAAAATTGAATAAAAGTATTATATGATAAAAATAATCTCGAAACAATTTGAAAAAAAATACGTGTAACAAAACTTGCAAGCATTTTTCATAAAGAGAGAGAACGATTACACTGGTCAACACTCAAATTTTTTCCTGACATTTAACATGTATTATAGGTTATATCTAAGGCACTGATTATGAAAAAAATACTACTTTAGTTGTATCAGCTCTATTTTTTTTATTTATAAGATATTACAATTAACAAATTCTGAAATAGGTTTTCGATATTTTTGAAGAATGTATTCGTTACAAATATAACAGAAACTATCTGGATTATGTAAACAACGTCTCCAAGTCAAAGACATATCGAAAGTTAAAAAAATAATAATTTTGAGTCGAGTAAAACTCAAAAAACCTGCACGTGATGTCTAAAGGGGGGGTAGTCTAAAAATATTAAAAAACAAGAGCTATTAAAAAAAACTACTGTCGTACTCGAAATCAGCACACTTAAGTAAGCCCAAAAGCTGCAAAATTATAAGAGGAAAAAGTTAAAATTATTTTTTTTTGTTGACCATTGTTATTATTCTAATTACGACTAATAGCATCTGGATAACGCTGTCGAGCGTGGTCGAGAGGCGTGGAAAATGATGAAAACCAAGACGAAGGAGCTGGGAAGGAGCTCTCGCGCAAAAGGAAATCGGGGGGGAGGAGGCAGGGGGGAGGGGGGAGGGGGGATTCTCTTACGTCGATCGTAACGAGCGCACACACGGCATTGTTGCCGGCTCGACTGTACTCGTATGTAGCGCATGTAACATGCGTCCCTTTTTGTTTACACTGGGATAACACGACTACTATGAAGCGAGGTAACCACTTTTTGCCGCCTTCTCTCAGGAGCAGTCCTGTAAGACGGATCGATTGGACGTAGCCGCACTCGCATATCGGCACTCTGTCGATTTTAACGACCGCACGGTCCATTCACTCCAACCGGACGTACAAAGCGCTTCTGGCTTGACAATTCTATTTCTTGCCCGTCCTCTCTACTCCACATCTAAATAGCCGGCTACGGCGATTCAAAAAGTCGACAAAACGTATCGATCGGACACGGCCGGAGAGGAGACAGGAAGTCACGCTTGTCGCGCGATATTCCAAAGTATACCCTCGTGGCGAATAAACGTTTTAACGGTTCGACGATGCGATCATCTCTTTTCAATTTTATACCTTCGTACAAATTTATACACATTCTCTGGGAGCAATAAAACAGTCGGGATGATAAGTATTCATTCGCTCTCGTAAATCGAATTTTTTTGAAAAAATGTCTACAACTCTATTAGCTGAAATAAACATCATTCTGGTAATTTATGAAGCGCGCCAAAAAAAAAAATGATGAATACCGCGCATGCATCAATATGCTTATGAACGATGAACCATCGATATTGGTCGCCGGGAGCGGGATGATTAGGGCGTCGCTGATTCGCAAGAACAAGCAAGCTCGAGCCGATACCTAAAAGCCTGGCCGTAGATTGGCCGGTCGTTTGACGATAATTAGGTCCCGCGGAACGGAATCTCGCCTCCTCGACGCTGCCGAGGAAGCGACCGGCAAAATCAACAAAATAATGAGTAGTCACGGGTGTTTGTCGGCAAACGCGAACGTAACGTGGTACGCGGTTGATGAGGAGGGTCCTCGGCGGAGAATTACATGGACGTATGTTGGGGGGGACAAACAGCTAGCAGGTTGAAGAGGACAACCACAACGAGTCGGCGGCTAGTTAATGACTCTCTATGCACTTCATTCCTTCCTCACCGGTGATTATCGGGGCGCGCGTCAACTCATCCTCAAGGTTGATATATATTTAGCGTTGCAATGACGTCATTTCCGTTTTCAAGACTCGCCATTATTATTTCCCTTCATAATGTATCCATTATTGTTTTTTTTTTTTCGAAAGCAATGAACCTGATTGTGTTTCAAGAATTATTCACGGATATAGTGTGTAATATATCACGGGTATTGAATGTTTAGCTAAATCATGCTATTAGAATAGCATCATTAAATCGAGGAAAGAGTGCGTATCTCGCTGAAATTTTATGCATTATTGTCTAAAAAAAGTTTTCTCTACGCACTTGATTTCTTTCTTATTAATGATTATCGCACATCAATTCATCTTCAAGATCGATACGCCGTGATTATTATTTCCCATTATAATGTATCGATTATTATTTTTCAGTAAAACAATGAATCTGATTGCATTTCAAGAACTGCATATTCATGGATATAATAAGTGATATATCATATCAGACATTGGATGTTTAGCTAAATGATGCTATTAGAATAGCATCGTTAAATCGAGGAAAGAGTGCGTATCTCGCTGAAATTTTATGCATTATTGTCTAAAAAAAATTTTCTCTACGCACTTGATTTCTTTCTTACTAATGATTATCGCACATCAATTCATCTTCAAGATCGATACGCCGTGATTATTATTTCCCATTATAATGTATCGATTTTTTTTTTCAGTAAAACAATGAATCTGATTGCATTTCAAGAACTGCATATTCATGGATATAATAAGTGATATATATCAGATATTGGATGTTTAGCTAAATGATGCTATTAGAATAGCATCGTTAAATCGAGGAAAGAGTGCGTATCTCGCTGAAATTTTATGCATTATTGTCTAAAAAAAATTTTCTCTACGCACTTGATTTCTTTCTTACTAATGATTATCGCACATCAATTCATCTTCAAGATCGATACGCCGTGATTATTATTTCCCATTATAATGTATCGATTATTATTTTTCAGTAAAACAATGAATCTGATTGCATTTCAAGAACTGCATATTCATGGATATAATAAGTGATATATCATATCAGACATTGGATGTTTAGCTAAATGATGCTATTAGAATAGCATCGTTAAATCGAGGAAAGAGTGCGTATCTCGCTGAAATTTTATGCATTATTGTCTAAAAAAAATTTTCTCTACGCACTTGATTTCTTTCTTATTAACGATTATCGCACATCAATTCATCCTCAAGATCGATACGCCGTGATTATTATTTCCCATTATAATGTATCGATTATTATTTTTCAGTAAAACAATGAATCTGATTGCATTTCAAGAACTGCATATTCATGGATATAATAAGTGATATATCATATCAGACATTGGATGTTTAGCTAAATGATGCTATTAGAATAGCATCGTTAAATCGAGGAAAGAGTGCGTATCTCGCTGAAATTTTATGCATTATTGTCTAAAAAAAATTTTCTCTACGCACTTGATTTCTTTCTTATTAACGATTATCGCACATCAATTCATCCTCAAGATCGATACGCCGTGACTATTATTTCCCATTATAATGTATCGATTATTTTTTTTCAGCAAAGCAATGAATCTGATTGCATCTCAAGAATTGGATATTCATGGATATATCATATCAGACATTGGATGTTTAGCTAAATGATGCTATTAGAATAGCATCGTTAAATCGAAGAAGGAGCATATACCTCGTTGAAATTTTATGCATTGTTGCTTAAAAAAATTTTAATAGCGTAACAAAAGCAAATAGAAAGAAGAGAAAGAAAGAAAGAAAGAGAAAGAATAGTAAGTAATTATCGAGAAATATAAGCTCATTAATATTTCAGACGAAATAAGTTGTTACAAGAGCTGATGAGATACGAGGCGCACCCTCTTATAAGATCTTCAGTTGTCTCACACGTGCTGAGCGAGAACATGAAACCAGAGGACCGAAGAACACGAAGAAAGGCATGATATGCTGACAGTAGGCGAATAGAATCCATGGAATTCTGGCCGCCGGGCGGCCAGATTTTTCTCTGGTTAGTTTGAGACTTTGAAAAATCTGCGACCGTTCTCGAGACAAGGCTCGCTAAGGGAAAAAGGAAACACTCGATACCGGGCATATGGTGAAAATTCAAACGAGAATGCCGGAAGTTGAACGCTTTGAAAAAAGTTGCGTCAAACATATGTGTTTTGTTCGCCGATAGATTCTTTGGAAGCAAATTTCTTTATAGAAAATTGATTTGTATAAAAAATCATGTAATAAAAAAAAATAAATAAAAAGTCTAGAATAATTTCTTTTCAAAAATTCGATTCTTCAGCAAAATTGCTTGAAAAAATATATAATATCATAACCATGAATATTATGTCATAAATATATAACAACATTGTAAATAATCTTGTCAAGGCTCGGTATTATGTTCACGTAAAAATTTTCTCGATCCTCGTTTAAATGACATTTTTATAAAAGCGCATTCCAGAGAAAGAGAGAAAGTCGTTTTGTCTTTTTCCGTCTTTTTACACCCACGCGCTTTCCTTCCCGCGGGAACGAGACGAAAGATCGGAAAGGGCCGAGGGTGGGAGTCAGGGACGGCTGGTGCTAGTTGAGTTGTCGAGCTGACACGCGTTCTCCGTCCTCGTTCCACCGCCGGCCATCCCTCCCCAACCTTCGTTTCCGACCCCGCGTCCGCTCCCCCCTCCCTTCTACCTATCCATCCCACTATTCCCGATTGAGATCCGCCTCTCTTTCTCTCCCGCATCATCCCTCGGCGTTTTTCTCGCAGCCTTTTCGCTTCCTCTCTCGCTCACTCTCCCCTTCCCCGCGATGCGGCAGAAGCATCCGTTTATCCTCCTCGTTCTCACGTCGAATTTTCCTCCCCGCGTTTCTTCACGGCCTCTCTGTCGCATGCCTAACCGCATCCACCGCCACACGCCCGGCTTCTCTCCTCCTCGACCATGCTCTCTCCTGGCTATGGTGGAGGTGGTAGTGGTCGCCATGGTGGTGGTGGTAGCGATAGTAGGGTGGTGGTAGAGTCTCAGTACCGCCATACCCGCCAAAGCACAAGCACCGTGACAGGGTTCGCACACACGTTCCACGACTCGTGCCTTTCCAAAGAGGACAGCCTCGTCACCCTCGGGGAGGACACGAGCGAAGGGAACAAGGGGAGCGACGTTTGCGCTCGCGAGAGACTCTGCGGACTCCGAGATCTAATGTCCGGGGGTAAAAATTCCGGAGTAAAAATTAAGTGTCGCGCGTGTCATCCGGCCGATCGCCAGCGGTGAGCGAATGCGATCGCTCGTCGGGGGTGGTGGTCAGGAATGCGATCGCGAGGACGTTTGACGCGCCGCCGGAAGCAATCTGATTGCGGTGAATGTGCTGCTCTCGATTCGCGCGGACGGTGGGCGTCGTCGCGCATTAATCGCGATGATGGTGATCGATTGACGCCGCTTTATCCGGTAGATCTGTCGGCTCGAGGTCGCTCGTGCGACGATAATACGTGACTTCGCACCGGGGCGATCGGTGATCGCCAATCGCGACTTGGCCCGTATGGATTAACGAACAGTGAGTCACCGTATTCGACGGCCAGTGAAAGGAAAGCGGAGCGAGTTGTGCTGGATATCATTTTTGGCTCCGTCGGCGCTCGAGTTCGTCGGAGACAAAGCTTGAAAACGGACGAGGATCCCTACGGAAGCGTCGCAAAGATCACGACGGGTCTGTCACGTGACAAAATAGTTGGTTTCCAGTCTAGTTTGCAATCGACGACGAGAGAATGACAGAGGATTGAAGAGCGCGCCGCGGGAGACATCATCGACATCGGTTTACCTCGCAAGCGACGGAGTAAATCGTTGCGAACAACGTGTTCATCATAGTCTCCCTTCAAGGACAAGTGGTCGACACCCTTGAAAACGGACTATGTCCGGTGTTATTATCGGCCGTCGTGCGTGCCATCGGTACCGTAAGCAGGGTGCCAGACGGACCGACCTGCCTTGATTCTAGAAGAGGAGGCTGGCAATTTTCTGACGCGACAGCTGGCTTTGAGCGGTATCAGCAGCAGCCGCCGGCAAGATGCCGGAGAAGGAGGTCGCTTATCAGGAGGCATTCCCGTTGCTGCCGCCACCACCGCCACCGCATCACCCGCACTCGGCCTTCCACGCGACCTTATATTCGCACCCTCATCCGGCGCCTCCGCCACCGTTTCATCCGCATCATGGACCGCCGCCCCCGCCGCATCCGGCCACGGCCTGGGAGCATCACGCGGCTGCGGCGGCCGCGGCCGCCGCGGCCGTTGCCTTCCATGCACCACCACCTCACCCGTAAGTGTGTTTTTATCTTTATTTACTTTCTAGTAGGTGCAAATGCTCCGTGTACTCTCTCAAAAGTGAATCAGTGCATTATCACTGAAAAATAGTAAATAGTCAGTGATTACAGCAGTTATAAGTATAGCACTGTAAATCAGTGATATTTTATTGAAAGAATCAGTTAATAATTTTGATTGTTTCAATCAGTAATATTTTTTTCTATCGTCAGTAATATTAAACTATAATTCATCTCTTCATAATTTTCATTAAGTCGTCCGACATTTATTTGTCCGACTCTTATATAAGATCGATTTAATACTTGAAGCCTCTCTATTGAGATTGTATCAGAAATTAAATCGAAGTAATACTTTGAATTTTATCTGTCACTCTTTTCAAACTTTATATAATTCTTATGACTAAAATACGAGAAAGATAGCGATCGTAGCAGTAAACAAACGAACTAGCGATTACTGGTTTTACAATGAAATTTACTGGTTTTATAGTGAATTTTATTTTAACTGATCATAATCAGTGAGATATAAAATAAAATAACAAAAAAATAAGCGTTTCCATTGAAAATCAGTAAAATACTCACTGATTCTCAGTGAAATCTTATTTTACTGTTTAAATTAGTGATATTTTCACTAATTCACTTTTAGAGAGTGGGATATATATCCCATTTACAAAAAAAATCATAATTTTTAAACAAATAATAATCCTCGATTTTTATCTTGTTTTAAAGAAGAAAGTTCAAGCTGTATGTAAAAAAATCGCGCACTTTGAAATGTAATGTTTGTTATAAAATATAGTTATTTAAACTTTGCAAAAAATCAGATTTTTAAATAGTGAAAAATAACTGCATATTATGTCGAAAAATCATAGAATTGATACGCTAATTATATACTCTCTAAAAGTGAATCAGTATTTTATCACTGAAAAACAGTAAATAGTCACTGATTACAGCAGTTATAAGTACAGCACTGTAAATCAGTGATATTTTATTGAAAGAATCAGTTAATAATTTTGACTGTTTCAATCAGTAATATTTCTCAATATCAGTAATATTTCCTTCGTTATTGTCAGTAATATTTAACTATAATTCATCTCTCTATCTATTTCATATAAAATTAAAAATTTTATTCATATTTACTAAATATTTATTATATTAAAAATTTTATTTTATTTATATTACATGCATATTGAACTTGTTATTTTAAACAGATAACGAACGAATAATTTTCATTAAGTCGCCAGACATTAATTTGTCCGACTTATAAAGATCGATTTAATATCTAAAGCCTCTTTATTGAGCTTGTATCAGAAATTAAATCAAAGTAATACTTTTAATTTTAAATGTCGCTCTTTGCAAACTTTATATAATTCTTATAACTAAAATTAAATACGAGAGAGATAGCGATTGTAGCGGTAAATGAATAACGAACTAACGATTACTGGTTTTATAGTAAAATTTACTGATTTTACAGTGAATTTTATTTTAACTGATCATAATCAGTGAAATATAAGATAAAATAACAAAAAATAAGCGTTTCCACTGAAGATCAGTAAAATACTCACTGATTCTCAGTGAAATCTTATTTTACTGTTTAAATTAGTGATATTTTCACTGATTCACTTTTAGAAAGTCAAGCGCGAACTCAAAAAATTGTGAAAAATTCGATGAAAGATTCGACTCATTAGAGTTGAATTTCAACGTTATAATCTGGAGACACTAAAACTTGAAAAAAATATTCCGGAGAAGATTTTTATTTCGATATTTTATTGAAAATTAAAACAGAATCAAAAAAGTAAAATGTCGAAAAATTATGGAAAATTCGATTTATTAGAGTTGAATTTCAGTGTTATAATCTGAAAACAGTAAAACTTGAAAAAATAATATTCTGAAAAGGATTTTTAGATATTTCGATTTGACTCCAATATTATTAAAAAATAAAACAAAATCGAAAAAATAAAATTTTGAAAAATTGTGGAAAATCTGTTTTATTAGATTTCTGAATTTCAATGTTATAATCGGGAAATGTTAAAGAAAATTTGGAAAAAAAATGTTTTGGAGAATTTCTAGTATTTCTATTCCTTCTTTTGTGTATTTTACTCCATATTATTAAATATTATAACAAATTTTTATCTTTCGTGCATCACTATCTTATTCATAAAACTTTTCATCTACATTTACTTAACCAATTCGTACAAATGCCTCAAATAATATTAAGTGAACTTGAAAAAAAATGTCGAAAAAGTTGTGGAAAATTTGAATTTTTAGATTAGAATTTTATTGTTTAATTGTGAATATAAAATATATTAAAGAAAATGTAGAAAAAAATATGTTAAAGAAGACTTTATTAAATATTACAATCAATTTTCTTCGTTTTATTATCCATAAGTTTTCATCTTCATTTCAAGCAATTCGTACAAATGCTTTGGAAAATTAAAGTGTCGCTGGAAAAATGAAAATGTCAAAAAAATTGTATGGAAAATTCGAGTTATAAGAAAGGAATTTTAATGTCATCATCTGAAGGCACTAAAGAAAATTTGAAAAAAAAATATTCCAGGAAAGAATTTTTAGATTTTTATTTCACCCTGTGTTAAATATTATAAAAATATTAAATCTTTAATTTAGTAAATTCGTTATAATGAAATTGATTTGTACATATATACTTCTTTTCTTTGAATATAATTGGCGAAATTGCTCATAATTGCTATTTGCAGAGTTTGTGATTATATTTTTCCTACCCATACTTAAGTAAAATCCACATACTTACGATTAAATGTGGCCCAATCATTACGATTGCGATGTAGCACACAAAGTTTTTCAACAAGATCCATATCTAATTATCGATTAAAATTCAAAGTTTACCCTTCACTATAAATTATCCCTTCGTGTGAAATAGATTGTAATGTCGATTTGCAGATTTCGATCAATGCTCGTTAATAATTAAAGTCCATTCTCAATGTGAAATTTCAATACAATTTCCATGCGAGCGAAAAGACGTTGATTTATGCGTACTCGTCTATAATTTGCACGTTCAAGCGTACCCCGACAATTGACTCTTGTCATATTTTGCGTAACATGATTACGCCCAACAATTTTATCCGATATTTACATAAGCGGCGATTTACGTTAATCGCCGCGGTGAACAGTGTTCGCTGTAGATAATTTCAAAATTATCTAGATAAAGATAAAGATAAAAATCTGTAAATTTATCTTAGATGAGATAAATTTACAGATTTACAGATAAAGATGATTTTGCTTTTACTTAATCTAGATGAAAGATGAGATAATTATTGCGATAACCTAGATAATTATCTAGATATTTTTGTTTATTTTAGAAGACTATAAATATTTGTAAAAAATATGACAGATTATAAATGGGATATTAAAATCACATTCTTTTTTTTTTCCTAAAGAATATTTAATATTATAAAGAAATAATAGCAAAAAGGTATATAAATGATATGATAAATATTTATTTATTTATTTATATTTATAATATATTTATAATATATTAATAATATAAAAAATATATTTTAGATATTTTAGATAGATTTTTGGAAGCTTGCCTGGAAAACTTTTTTGCACAATGAAAACGTCATCTTAGACAATTTTTAGATAAGACGACATATATTTTTCATCTAAGATAAAGATAAAGATACTTTGTATTTTTTCATCTAGTTAAAGATAAAGATGATCCATTTCTTTATCTAGATGATTATCTAGATAAAGAAATGGATCATCTTTATCTTTTATCTAGATACCAGCAAACACTGGCGGTGAATAATACATATCGCCCCGCTGCGAGTGTTAACAAGAAGCTTATTCGCGACGGGCGAATCGGCGCCGATCGGCGAGCGGGACGCTTCGATCGGACGTATCGGGCAGCGAAAGGCGGCGAAAGAAGCCCGGCAAAGAATCGCGGCACCGACGGAATAACGTCTTAATCGAGTTAATTAAAGCCTCCTCGCGTGTTTTCACGTTCCGCGAACACGACACGCGATTGCACGCAACGAGATTACCTCCTCGAGCGGGGCTAGTCCTTCTGGGATGTGGAAACGGACGACGCAATAATTAGATGCTTCGACGCGGCGCGAACAAAGCCGCGGTTTCCTCCCTTTCAGCGCTTCATTTCCACCGTGGAATTGCGGTACCTCGTCGAAAGGATAATAGAGCCTTGCGCTATTATTCTCGATAGGGTACACGAGAGAGGTGGACCGAAACTCGGAGGGATATCGGGAATACGATGCACGCAAATAAAATTGCGTGATGTATATTTGTTAAGAATGTAACGTGACATTTCTCGATATCCACGAGTTTGTTTGAACGCCGAACCTTCCGATGTTACGAAACCGGTATTAATTCACGTCACACACCGCTGAGTCGCCGATCAATTAATAATGCACAATTAAAGTGACAATTATGCAAAAAGTCGGCCGCTTAATCTCGACCGTCTCGGACGCGCCATGAATATTTTAATCGGAGAAAGAGAGAGAGAGAGAGAGAAAAGGAGAAGGAGACGCAGGGCGCATTAAATGTGTTGTAAAACTCGGCGCCGATTCTTCCATACGGCATTAAATCAGCCAGCAATCGTAGCAGGTGTTCCGGGACGGCAATCATCGGAGCTTCAGTATGTCGGTCCAATTAAGCATTTAATTGCAACAGTTGCCACCCTCTCGATCATCCGCAATATCCGTATCGATGGAGGAAGGGGAGCGCAGGATAGGGCGCGCCGGCGAACGGCCAATAAATCCTCGTTGGTCGACAATTTTATCGGGCGAAATTGTGCGATCGCGCATAGAATATCGATTCGCGTAATTGTGTATCAGATATATTCGTCGAATACAGCTTGATTCGTACACTGAGAAAAATCGTTTGATTGTACCAACAAGACGTATATGATTTTGGTTAAATTAAACAAGAATTTTTAATTATCATGATAAGACACGATTTTTTATAACTAGAACGTTTAATAGATTTTACTATAAGGATTTGGGGTTAGTATTTT